CACAACTCTCAATCATCAATTCAAATCACTACCTAAAGAAAATCCCCCTCTTACCAACACTCAATAAAACTACTCACCAAGCACCCATCATAAACTTTCAACATCAGCCTACATCACCAGCAAATAAGAACTCATTAAGGGGGCTCCTACGACTACTGCTGAGGTCAATGACAAACAAAAAATAAAGTTTTGTTTTTCAATAAACAAATGTGTCTGAAAATCATTATGATATTTTTAATAACGTATGAAGTGGGAAAAATGATATTTATGTGTGTAGTTTAACTTTGTACGAAAAATTAATAATTGTTTTGACCAATCTAGTGCATACGAGAGTACACCACCAGACCAGACCACCTGTGTTGGTGTAGTATAGCGATGTAATATATAGGTATATGGTATATATTTGTCGTGAACAAGTACGTCTGCTACCCACGTGACCTCCTGACCTCCCGGACACTATTTATTTATTTCCATCACAAATATCTCGCTAAAATGGTCCTTTATCCACAATTTTTAATACAGCATATTCTACAAAACGTATATATTCAGTCTGCTGGGACATTTAATTTAGGTTTATTATAAACGAAAACAAATTGTTTTTCACGCTGCCCCATAGGAACACGTGCTAATAGTTACAACTTTGAGCTCGGATTTCTCAAAATTTTGACCCATTCGAAATATAATTTAGACCACCATTAAGTTCAGTAGGCTTTTATTTACAAGAAATAATATATCTCTGTTTGGGGACTTTCGTGAAGGAGCCCCCTTAACTTCATTTACATACTTTACAGTGCAAAATTTGCACTATACAAGCCTGCATTGTGACGTAGCGGAGTCCATGCGCACCCCCTGCTATTCAATAGATACTACTACTACTTCATGTGCGTCTACTGTTTTTTTCTTTTTTTTTGATAAAATAGCTAGTTGTTGAATAAATAATGTTACAAAGGTATACAATCAAAGTAACTTTATGGATAAGGTAGTACACTTTAATTATCTTGGACGGCCCTAAAAGTTATTTTGCTGCAATCGTTAAGGGGCTGAAGAGGTGGAGTGAAACTCCATATTTCAACATTATCGTTGCCATCGTAATAAAACGAAAGAAAAAAACTTTTTAAAATCTAAAAAAATAGCTCAGAAAAAAGCTCTATATTAAAAAAACAAATTTTTTTGGTATTATCGGATGCATACTTTAAAAAGTACCTGTAATTCAATATTTAAAATCTTGATTGACTGTATGAAGCGTGGTACTTCCGCTCGATTACTTTTTACAAACTTGTAAGTTGGTTGTTGATACAGTACCAACACTTTTTAATCAGAAACACTTACTTATGATCTCCAGCTTTTTGTACAAGAAAAAAAATCACTTTTACAGTATTCGGAAATTTTACTGACGGTTGCGCTAACAACGTACACGACTTTAAATAAGATACTTCATTGCAGCGATGCAATCGCCAAGCGAATAATATAAAATTGATGTATTACAATCGTTAATTGAAAGCTCACATGAAAATTTGTCTAAAGTGCTAAATTGTTGAGCTACCACAGTTTCCTTTTATTAAATAAATTTTCTAACATTTATTTTCATTAAAAAGTTTTATTTGGAATCTATTTGTGTCATAGTAGGTGTCTGGAAAGTGATAAGGAACTAATAAAGTGAATAATATAAATAATACCCATTTAGTAGTATACGAAATATTTATATTTATATGAAATTAATTTTTCTATACAATTCTCGCATTTGCATTGGCTTCCAACTTAACGCTTATTTTCTTCATCATTACTTTCTGTTATTTCAACATGGTCTGGTCGACGCGTTTGTGCTGATAGAAAGTAAGTAAAATTTAAAATGTGAATACGTAGGATAAAAATCAATAATAATATCGCTTGGCGATATCAATATGATCGAGCCTTTCCTTTTACGCTATAACATAACTATATAATATAGGAAAGGAATGCTGACTAACATATTATGTAATTGTAATAGTATCGAAAAAATGTTCCATTTTCTTTTTGTTTAATTTATACAGAATAAATAAAGAATGTATATTAATGTGAATTTTTTGCGGTTTAAGTTCCACATACACGATACAATTTCCTTCCTGCATCCTGATTCTCATTTACTCACCCACTCTTACAATACTTCTTTTAATCTTTTGCTTCCCAAGAAATGAGTATACTTTATACATTAACACATAAATTGTGAAGTAGAGTGATAGAGTGGCACTACGACACAACGGTTACTCTCACACATTTTTATTACTCAGCGTATTTGATTTGTACATACATACGTTGAGCAGGTGCTGCAGTAGGCTTCGTCGCATGTCAATTCATGCAGTGACTTACGCATTCGCATTTACAAAATTTTTAACGATTCACAAAGATGGCGATTACATGGTCGGCGGAAATTTTTATTCGTTTGAATATTTGCAACATTATAAATGAAACTACAAATAAATGATAAAAAGGGCATAGCTAACCCTTAGCATTTTATGTATAATCGTAACCGAAATATGTAAATTACATAATACATTAAATTGGTGGTTTTCAGTATCAAAGAATTTAAATGCAAACTCTCGCCTACTTTAGTGCTTCAAAATAAGGCATTCCGCACTCCATCTGGTCGCTACCTAATACTTAGAATATGTTTATAGATATTTAAAGTAGGTAAAATTTGTTGTTATTTGAAGAAAACTTTTTATTTTAACTCTCTACTTTTAATAAATAAGTGTGTCTCTTAGTAAACAATTCGTAGTTATGGTTTGTAAGATGAAATAAATTTAATAACAGCATTTATGAGCTCATTCAAAATACAGTATGTGCGAAGCGATATGGACGAGAATCTTGCTTCAAGCCTTTATCTCCTCAAAGTATTGTAATTTAATAAAAAATAGTAAAAAGAAAATATCTTGCTTATAGTTTCAAAACTAGTTACCATTTTAAAGTTCAAATAACCATTATATGAATATGCTGACGCATGTTATTAAATAACTAACTTTATTTTCTTCTTTTAGTTTCGACTTCGCGTATTACACAGATTAAAAGATTCTATAAAGATATTCTAAGTTGTGATCCATCACACTCACAAATCACACTCATTCACTTTACTCTCTTACTGTCTTTTGTTTTCCCTCTTTTTATATTATTATTTATAAAACTAAGGCACAATTTATAATTTCAGTTCTCATGTGTTCTTTCAGAAACATTTTATAAAAATACGCTGGGCGCTAATTTTTAAGTGCTCTAGGTAGCTTTGATCAAGTTTAATAGAGAAATTAATTGAAGAAACGTGAGGCACTGAGAGAGCTGATGTAATCTAACAGGCGCAAGTTTGCAGAAATATATATCCTTTAAGCAAAAGTAATGATAAAATAAAATAAAGTAAAATTAAACTGAAAAGAAAACCAATTTTTATCACTCATAGTTTTGTCGATGTCCTTAAAAACATATATATATTTTCCTCTGTACATAATCTTATACATACTTATGTTTACCTTAAAAGTAAGATAGTCATACAGTTTTTTGCATTACAGAAATAATGAGTACTAGTAGTAGTAATAATAATAGTAATAATAATATTAATAATAATAATAATATTCATAATGATAAAATATTAATCATGTCTATATAACTTTGATAAAAATCAATAACAAAATTAAAATACGCTATTAAAAAAATTTGAGTAGGCTGTTCATCTTTAGATGGAGTATAGAGAGAAAAGATAATATAGCTGTAAAGTTAGGAGGATCAGAAGAACATTATCCATTTAATAAAAGGTGAGTACGTGTAAAAAACGCTAAAGAAAATCAGAAACATGTGGAAGCATTGAGGAAATACTAAACCAATGAGCAAAAAAATTACACTAAAAGGAATGGAAGGAATGGAAATAAAGTTACGACTCTTTACAAGGAGCCTGCGCCACTAATAAAGGCTAGCTGTAGTACGTAGATCTTGTGTCGAGATAATTTTGTTCTAGCAAATATAAATAAAAATATACACTGATATTGCATTCCAACTTTCCTCCACCTCCCCCCCCCCCCAACTAGTTCGTACTGTAATACTTGTATTGTATACTACTACTACTAGCTTGTAAACAGTACGCCAATGTCATTTTAGATCAATGTATCTTTTAAACAGTATTAATTTTTTGCGTTTTCTCGATGTAGAGAAAGTAATTGTAAGTTACATTTGGAAAGCTGACAACGGTAATGACGAAAGAAATCGTGATACTTATTTTTTTCATTGAATTATGTACAAATCTTTTTCGTAATTGAACCGTTCCACTTAACGAGGAGTGACGAGATTTCACAGATGCGTTGTGCAAACAGGAACACTAGATTTTTCTGCTTAGATAGTTATTGGCTGGTTGTGATTGATCATAAAATCACACTTTACAATCGCTGTGCAGCAAGTATTAGAATAAATTGAATGTGTATAATTTCTTATCAAGTGGTTCTCTCTCTTGATTTTTATGTTTCGAAAAAGTTTAATATGCATCCACAGAACTAATAAAAATATAAGTTTTCATTGTACTTTGTTCCTTAGTTCAAAATTTACCTTGTCTTTTTTAGAATGAATATTCATTTATTCAATACAAACTAATATTTGCTTAGCATATTCATGAATGTATGTTAATGTATTTTTTACCATGAAAAAACTAATAAAAATATGAAATATTTTACGTAGTTCATAAGTTTTTTTAATTTTTAGTCCATGACCAGCTATTTAATTTTTAATGAATTCAAGTACTATTATTATGTGAATAAGTGTTAAAAAGTTTAAGAATTACGTTATTTTTATCATAATAAAGTGATGAACAGTTCAATAATCATAACATTATCCATAGATTCCACAGACTGATAATCATACAAACAATGCAGTACTGTGACATGAAGGTCGAACAAGTATCTTCATCTTTAATTAATTTAAAAATAGCAATATTAATAGACGAATTTAGTAAAAGTTCCTATGAAAAAAATTTTTAAAAATTAGTGTTGGGTAAACAGATATAACATGTCAAAAAAAATTTTATGACCATCAGGGTTTAAGAAAATAAAAATTCATTAAGTTTGTTATACGTTGACTTCGAGCGTAATTCTGAAACAGCACCCTTATCGAGCAACTTGAAAACGATTGGCTTTCAACAAAAAAAGAAATTACTATGTATAATATGTATGTGTACATACAGTTCATGTCAACACACCCGAACAAACTTAGTACTGTACTTTTTTAATTAAAACTAATGGTTTTTAGATGGTAGATGGGGGCGCTGTTTCGAGATCGTGCTCAAGACCAAAATACATACTAACAATTCTTAGTAGCATTAAAAGTTTTGTAATTTTCAAAATACCTTCCTTGGTAAATAAAAAAGTAAAGCACGTGACTATCCGAAATTCACAAGATATCACGTAGATATATAGAAGCGTTATACTTACGCACTAGCCAATTAAGGTAGTATACTGGAACAATTGTGCACAAATAATAATACAATTTTTAACGCAACAATGTATTTTTATTAATGGAGTAGAGGTTAAAAGCTACTCGCTTATTAAACTCACCTTCCATGCACAGAAGAGCTAAATTCATCTTTCTGTGTTGCGTATCGAGGTATGGCAACTATGCATATTTGCTTAAAGTTTAGCCATACAAAATATGTACGTACATCCTTATCAAAATTAAAAGTCGTTTAAAAAACCGTACTATCTTACAGGAACAGTGCTGTCGATACGAATCAAAATATGTAAATCTGATTTTATATGAGATTTAGAATATATATTGTTCATGTCAAGTATTGTTTTTTTCATTAAAATTTCGCGACGTTTAGTATGAGAAGCGCTACACAAAATTTTACTACATTTTTTTAGTACTTTAAATAATCATAAATTCATTTTTTCAATCAACTCCAAGAAAACTTATTTTGTAAGTGACAAAAATATACAAGGTTTTTGCCCGTCCACCAATCCATCTCATACTATTCATTGTTAATTTGCAAGTAAATATCTTATTTATTGGACCGCAGACTAAACTGTAATTTTGACCATACTAAAATTTGACTATTTTCAAAGCTCAAATAATAAGTATAAGAAAAAATCTCTGGAATACTACCTTTAGTTGGCTAGTTTTAAAAAAATTTAGATATTTTATATTTTACAAAAAAAGTAGTTACTGTCAATAAGTTTTTAAAATTTAGCAAATCAGATTACATATAAAAATAAGTATTTTTGTGCAGTTTGAGGGGCATTTTGTTATGAGTACTGCTAAACACGTTATTTAAATTATACTACTGTTTCAAAATACTTAAAATTTTTCAGTACGTACTTTCGTGAAGTTTAAGTGCAGCTATCTTTTAAAAATAATTTATTGTTGATTGCACCATGCCAAAGAATAAAAATAATTTAAATCTATAAAAGTTAGGATTGAATTTACATTTGATTACCTACTGATGCTTGACATAGAAAAGGACGAAAGACTGAGGTTAGTTATAAAATTAGTGATATATCATTGATGTTTCTATAAGTATTGATAACTGATAATGCTATTTTGTTTTAAGTAGCTGTAAAGTGAACTAATGCTGATTAAGGCATACATTATGGTCGTATGTCAGCAGATACATATGGTTATTAACTCAGATTTTTTGGTATTTTAAAAATTAAATTTTATTTTATAAGTACGAATTTTCTGTCTAAACGTACTTTACAAAGCTTGCTTCAATACATCATTCCACCATTTATCTTCATCAAAGCATCAATTTTTGTTTGGAAGTATTTTTTAAATATTTAAAGTTTAAAGTATTTTTACTTTTTAACGTATATCGCGATGGGATGAAAATTTTTTTAAACATTTTTCAGGCCTTGAATTGGAAAATTGTAACATATGTAAGAAGAAAATATTTTGTGAGATTCTTAGCAAATGTAACGATACAAATTATAATGCAGAAAAGTAATCGCGATACAAGCGTCATTTCCAGACTAGTTACCTAACTTAATAATTGATTTCGTGACAGAACAATAAAAATCTCTATTCATCTTATTTCTATGACAAAAATACATCCTTATGGCTGCTGTAGTGGTAGTTTAACTATATAGGTTAGAAACGAACGTGTTTTTTTCCTGAACCATTAAAATGTGTAACGAAAAACACCAGCGACGAATTAGTGTGAAATTTTTCGTGAAATTAAAAAAACTCCTGTTAAGTGCTACAAATTATTTGAAGAGACTTATGGTGAGAATATTTCATCCCATGCACGTGTTTCGGAATGATTCAAAAGATTTTTTGACGATCCAGTGAGAGAACCGATAATGACCAACGTTACAGGTCATACCCGTGTCTGTTTTTTTTTTTTTACATTCACGGCATCGTGATGCTTGAACAGGTTCTAGAGGGTTAAAATGCGAACCAAAATTTTCATTTGAGTGTTTTGGAAACACTGCGAGAGCAATTTTATAAAAAACGATCGGAGTTATAAAAAAAAAATTGTGATTTTCGCACCAGGACAATGCACCCGCCTACCTATAACGCACTGTTTGTAAATCTTAATGTTCTGCTCATTCATAGATTATAATAATTTTCTCATGATATGGTGGATTTTGTGATTTCGGTCAAAGATTGTAAGTAACCGAATATGTAACTAACCATCGATGAGGTCCCTACGGTCATTTACAAAAATGTACTATTCATTATCTCCTGACGTCAGCCTGACGGATTTAATGTCACAAAAGTAAGGCCACATTACCTTATATTGTCGTCACTTAGAGTAACAGTGTGTCAGTGATGCCATTTTTTTCTTAGCTACAGTCCACCATCTATGCTGAGTTTTCTGATCGTAGGGACCTCATAATTTTTTGAATTATTTTATTATAAGTGCTGATAAGTTGAACAACACAGTTTATTTGATCATGTTAATTCGAGTAGTGAGAAATTTTGGTAGGCGCTCAATGACTTTTACTGTTTTAACATAGTAAACATTATTGATGTAGGTAAAAACTCCAGAATGATAATTTAAGTCTCTACATTAATATTCTGCACGATAACGTATTTCTAAAACTTACTATAAATTTAAGACTGCAAATTTTCAATATTTTTTTAATTTGAAGTAATGGTTTTGAAGGTTGGAACTAATTTTTGGGATCTAGTTTTTTTCGAAGAAACAACATCCCTTACCAAGCATTAATAGAGGCTAGGGAAGGCAATGTAAGAAATGCTGATTTTTTAAAGCTTGATACTTTATTAAGAATTACTTAAATAAGATTAAAGTTATTAAAATATATGCATTATTATGCTTGTACAAAGAACAAGTAAGTTTCAGATTCGCCATTTAATAGCAGAAGAGTACCATTTGCTTAAGAAATCAAGACTAATTTAGATGAAATTTTCAACAAAATTGCTCGAATGTTTTTCAAAAACTTCGTACAAGAAACCTTGATACAAAATTTTTTTTCATACTTAGGAATACTTTGGAGTTTATGAGCGAAAAAATGAATGTTAACTGATAACGGTAATAGTTGGACGATTCAATAGGTGGAAAGTCTAATAATTTGTAAGAATATCATAATTCATTTTTTAGGAACATTTTTATCTTGAAAGTAATTTTTTTAACTATCGGCTGAAATTTTAGAGTAAATATACCCATCTAAGCAGAATAAGTCTTAAACAGCTGTGAGAATCTCGACTCCTAAAAAATAGCAGCTAAGCGCTTTTATTTCAAATATTTACCTACTAGGTATATGTACTTTCTATTTTGTTTTAGGGATACAAAAATACTAACATATGTGTGTTCGTCGACGTTGCACAGGCAGTGTTTGCGCATATTATCTATTATCTAATGTAATTTCATTTATAATCTGTCCAACAATAAGGCACCAACGTTTGGGATTTTGAGATTCAACTTGCATGCTTGGACAAGTTCAGTGGCTTATCTGAAAAAAAAAAAAAAATTAAAAATTAATGAAAATTTTTTTTTATCATGAGTATAGTTTTATTTGATTATTATACGAATATGTTCATACATTTCTAGCATTCAAATACAAATTCACAACGGCTTGACTCATTTTAATATTTCAAGCATATTTTGATTTCTGACGTTGCCCTTTATTGGCTCGATAATATAGGTCAAGTGAATAAAATTCAAAGTGACCTCTGTAGTACTACTCTAAATGAAAATAATGATAAATAATTTTTTTTACGACCATTGAGTACCTTTTCAACTTTTTCTTTATCGGATTACCGTGACAGTCACAAAAGCCTAGTCATTGGGACCACTCACTTACCACCTATGTGGATGAATGTTATTTGCGCACCCACTATCTAACCATCAATCTTTATGTATTTTTATTTTTAGCATTTATTCCGCACACACAATGGTACATTACGTCACTAGGGCACAAAGTACAAATATGAGCGCCCGAAGGGCACGATTGTTGTATGTTGGTGCCCGAGTCGCGTAGTATGTTTTTCTTACCAAGGGCGCAAAGTGCAATTTTGCGCCCGTGGGCACACTTTGCGCCCGGTAAATCACTTTGGGCCTTAGGGCAAAAAAGAACTTTGGGCCCGGAGGGCGAAAATGGTAGTTTTCCTATGAGTTTGAAAAGTCTCTGTTTGCGAACCGAGAGGTTTGCGGCCCGAGCCGAAGGCGAGGGACGTAACGAGGTTCGTAAAGGAGACTTTTCGAACGAGTTCCGGAAAACTGCTTTTTCGCCCGAGGAAGTACCAGCCTCCCAAAACCAC